ATAATGATATTTTGCTGTGATATCGCTAAACAAAATTTTTAGTGTTACAACTTTGACTCTATAATTTTTGTTTGAATTTGAAATCTGAGTTAAAAGTTTGGCATATGAATTTTAAAAATTAATATATTTATTTATTGACTTCTTATTCTAACTCCGTTTACTTTAAAAACTTTTTAAAATTTGATTTAACTATTTCCTTGGGGGTACGGCAGTGATCGGAATTAAATTGTAACAAGAAAATTATTAAATTTTCTGTGCAAATTGTTTTTCGAGTATGGATAAAGCTACAATGCATCACAACCTCAAATAAAATGGATATTTATAGTTTTTTTTATTCCTACAGTAGTAAAACAACTATAATTTTGTTGAAAATGAACACACTTGATATGAATGTCATTTCTAATACGTGAGACAATAATATTGTCGATATTTTATTTTTACTGTGAATATTGTATTGTTTTAGTTTAACGTTGCTGTTTTGAATTATGAATTGAATTCATTTGAAGGTAACCAGAAAAAGAAAAAAAAAATTATATTTAAATTAACCATTTTGGGATGCTAATTTACGTTTTTTCTTTTTGTTTTTTACCTTTTTCTCTTTGATAATTTATAATTAGAGGAAATCAAAGAGAAAATACAAATAAAAAACTAAAAAAATTAAATTAATTTTATACAATTAAAAAAAATTTCTAATTTCAAGTGTATTTTTATTTTGGAAAAGATGTGGAGGTAAATGAATAATAATTTTAATATCAATGGTAATTGACCTACATTTAATGATAATATTAAAAATAAATAATAATTATTATTATTATGGAGAAAAATTTAGAAGCACATTCTTGATATAATTTCTATTTACTAATACAATTACAATTTTAGAAATTTTATTGGGGATTTCTATAATTAAGGTATTGTTAAATTGAAAATCTAATTGAGTACATTATTGACAAAATCATAATAAAAAATCATAATTAAAATGTTCAATTTCAAGTTGGATAAATGGAAGAAACTGTTCAGTTCAAAAGTTTATTCATCAGATAAGAAAAAAATACAATGAGTATATCTATACCATTTAGTTCTCTAATGAGGAAAATGTTTTCCAAATTTAAGTTTCCTTTATTCAAGAAATCTGAGTCAAAATGTTCAGAACTAAATCAGTTTATTACAAAAGTCAACAGTACAAAGGTTTTTTTTCATGGTCTCTACAATTTACGAAAATTCTTTTGAGTCGGCTCTATAAAAAGCTAAATTTAGTAGTGACACTTAGGCCATTAATTAATGTTAGAAATTTTTTAAATAAATTTTTCTGCCTTAAACTGAATAATTAATGCTAGTCAAGACTTGAGTAAATTGAAATTTTAACTAAAATTTAAAAAAAAAATATTTTCTTTTTTCATACAAAGTAATTAAGTAAGCAAGCAAATATAAGTATTTGAAAATAATACAAAGACTTTTTTTAAAATACCTACACAAAAATTTAAAATTTAAAAATTAATTTCATGTTTAAGTTTTAAGCAGATGTCGACACCATTATCATGTTGTGGCGCCTATGATATTAAGTACGTATACATTATTATTGTATTTATTTCATATTTAAATACAAAGTATGATTTAACATAAAATTCTATATTTTTATTTTAAACAAAAAGAATAAAACAACAAAAATAAAGCTGCGGAAAAAAACCATTCTAAATTTTTTTCTTATTCTTGTAGGCAGGCTTGTTCTAATTTTTAATTTTTATTTTAAATTTAATCTTATTAAAAATATTATTATATTATTGTTATAATAGTGGCAACTTAAATATTTAATCAACCAAAAACAAATTAGTCTTATTTAAAAATTCATTATGATTTTTGAATTTTTGAAAATCTACTTAATTGAGTACATTATTGACAAAATCATAATGAAATGTTGAATGATAAAAGTATTTAATAAATAAGGCCAATATATTTGTTTGGGAAATAAATGTTAATAGATAAATTATAGAACGAAAGGTTATCATAATTATTTCTCTTAAGCAATAATGTGGCCTTTGTGCTGAACAGTAAGAATGGTTAATATTTAATCAAAATATCGTAAATACATTCGTCACATTCTATACGTTCTTATCAGTGTTACAAATTCCAGAAATTCTATGTTCATATACTTAAATAAATAAGTATTTTGTTACAAGCGTCATTTCGACTCAAAATATAATTTACAAATTATAAAATTATTTTAAAAAACATTTTGAAACGGATATGATATTAAAATATTTTAAATAATTATACCTATAAAAATTGTAAATTTTTTTTTAAAAAGCCACACACCTACATCATATTAAATATAATCATTTTAAGTAAATGGTAAATGAGCGGTAACTAACAGTAAATTAATTGTTTTAATAATTTTATAAATACGAGTATAATTTTGAAACAGAAATCAATAAAGGCTCTTGCAATATCCCCAAGTCCCAATATCCAATAGAAAAAAACATTTTTCGTGAGTTACATTTTAATCATGTGGCAATCATATGTTCGATTTTTCGATTCAAATACTCTTGTATAGATGGTATTTATTGACTTTAAATTAATTTTTTCAAGAATATTTTCGAAATGTGCCCTTAAATGAGAAGTTGCAATTTTTCAAATGCAATTCTGATTAAATTCAGCTTTATTTTCGGATGTAAAATTAAACATTTTAATAAAATTATTTTTCTTTAAAGAAAACCGGGGTAGTCAAATTTTTCTATACATATTTGTTCTAAAATATTAGCAGTTTATATCTTCAAAATGTACCAAAAGTTGTTCTTTATTTTAATAAAATTATTCACATACATTTTTTATAATATCTCTAATTCAAAAAAATTTATGATTCGCAAATTTGAACTTTTTATTTTTTGCTTGTTTTAATAAAAATCTAAACTTTTACATATTTTATAATTAAAACAACGCGTTATCTATACTTTTTTTTTTACCTTAGCCAGAATAATATAAATAAATAAACAAATAAGTCTCCATGTATGTAAACAAATACATATTTAAAATAAAATATGAATAAGTTAATTTTCGATTTTTAATAAAAAAAAAAATTAATTTTCATAATCTTCATATCAGGTTTTTATTTTTTTAAAATGTGAGATAAAAATGTAAACAGACTTAATAATATCAATAATATGTATTTATTGTAGTCAAAAAGTAATATATAAATATATATATAATTAAGTATATAAACATATACGTTAGTATGTATATATATATATATATATATATATTTAAATATATATATATATATTAAATATATATATGTATTAAATATATATATATATATATATATATATATATATATATATATTTAAATACAATTAAATAGTTCTATAGTCAAGACCATTAACTCCTATAATGTACTGTCAAAACTCAAGAGTATCTTTTATATTTATGTAGGTACCTAGTTACTTAGCTATAGACAAGATATAGAGATACAAAATGCTCTATATCTTATATATAATACAAGTAATATAAAGCATTTTGTGTATGTATATTACGAAGAGAGCGAAAAATGAGCATGTTAAGCAACAATAGCAATAATATTTCCTTTATTGAATGACAAATAAATGGTTGAATGAAATATTTAAAAAAAAAAAGAGCATAAGATTTTTTTAACTATTTTTGTACGCATATCTAAGTGATTATCTACATTTAATTTGGCAAAAATGCATTTTTAAGAAACAATAGTTTTTTTTAAAATAACATGGTATCTAACTAACCAGTTTAAGTATTAAAGAATAAGTTGGAATAATTTTCATATCTCTCATATCTTTTCTATATAGCTAAATATCTACCCACAGAACTATAGATAATAAATAAACTAATAAGTATGTAATAACAAAAAAAAAGATGATTCACTTTAAAGGGTAAATAATTAAACTTTACTTTAGGTTTAAGGTTATTGATATTATTTAAATTTTGTGGGAATATTTATAACTTTTTAATACTTATTTAGTACACGTACTAAATTTATGATTTGGGATAGGTTAATTTATTGATAACGATATAAATAATAATAACAATTAGATAAACGAATATGAATTTAAAAACATAAGAATAAATAACAAAATTCAGAATAAATCCGAAAATAACTAATGATGTTACACCAGTTCATTAATGAAAGATTACAAAAATTACAATAATAAATCAGATTGTTTTTTTTTTTAAAATAAGTGCCTACTGTTCTGGTTTATTTATTATAGAAAAAAAATTATATTTTGTTTATGAAATTTTAACTATTTAGCTATCAACTTACATACATACATAATTATTAAAAAATCTTTAACACATACGAACGCCAATTTTCTTCATAACAAGTATATGCTAGAATTCGTGATCATTGACATGTAAAAACCAAAAAATGTATCTAACTGGTTTTAAAAGCCACAGGCCTAAGACTCAATACATATGTGAATAATTAGACATAATTGTTTTTAAGGATATTAAAAAGGTAATAATATTCGAAGAAGCTTCTTGAAACTTACAGAAAATAAAAAATACTTTAAGATATGTGAGTATTTTTGTAAACAAATAAGTATATTGTTAAAACTTTTTCAATTTCATTGAAAATTTTAATATTCTTTTTTATTTTTTTATTAAATTTGATGTAAAGAAGAAAAATGTGATTTTATTTATTCTAAAATCTAATCAACCCACACAACGAAATTGGTCTTTCAACCTCTTAACATCACATTTTTAGTGAATACATTTTTGATATTAGATAGATTGATACTTGAATATACATACATACATCTGTATTGTTATTGAAATGTACACCTACTCACATATGTACATATAAATATAACTTCACTTTTCTTTAAGATTTTTGACATGCTCAATAAAATACCGAAAGAATTGTCATTAGAAATGTTATCAGTACTATCAGTATTAATGAAAAATCTTAAAACTTCAGTTTTAAAATAATAAAAATTATTAATGGTCATATTATTAATAATTAAAGAAATTTAACTTACCTATGAATTCTCTCCTGTTGTTCTAATTCATCATCAACATCAACAATAGCAAATAATTCAGCTTCACCATCACGACCAAAAATACCATTTGGTATTTTTCTTAAAAATTTCTTTAAAACACTAGCTATTGTATAAACAGAATAATTATCAACATTAACTAAACGTCCAGCTTGTAAAAAATGTATTAAATTTTTCATAGCACCTTGATGTCCCGGTGCCCTAAATACATCTTTACGTAATGGAGCTTCTTTATTTAATTTTAATATTAAAACTAATAATGGTCCAGGTATATCATTTTTACATACTTCATCTAATGGTACACCAAATTTTACTTTTTCTAAACGATATGGATATGGACCTGGTCCAGGATGACCACATGATGTTACAACACTACCTAAATCGGCAGCACGTCTATGTACTCTTTGTGCCCAACTGGACATTTTTGCAAAAAGTTTTTTTTTTTTTTTTGAATAGGTTAGAATTTTTTTTCACTTTTTTTTTAATTTACTTGCATAAATTAAATGATAGATAGATATACGTTCTTCTATTTATAATTTATTGAATGAACAATTAATTCTAAAAGAATAATAATTAAAAGAATTTCTTTTAATTAATTTGTATTGAGTATTAATGAAGGTATAGGCATATTTTTTTTCGTACGTTTCGAATTTTTATCAGCAATTTACTGTTTGAATATTACAAGTCAATGATGCTACCATTTCATTACATTTTTGCAACAAAGTTTTACTCAAATTCAAAGCACCTCAACTACAATAAAATTTGGAAAATTAATTTAATATGAGAAATTGAATTGTAAGGAATAAGACTAGGACTTTAAAAATAGGTAGGTATCTACCTACTCTGATTATAAAATGAAAATCTTTTACAATGCCTATTATATAAAAACCGAATAATTGCTTTGGATTTTTGAATCAAATTCTGTTTAGATAATTTATAGATCCATTATGGAATTATGCTTATCACGTTTTTATATATTTACATACAATATGTAGGTAGGTAGATACCGATTCGCCTGAAATTGATAAGGAAGCACTTTTTCTTTATAGGTAAAATAAGAAATTTAGCATCACATTTTGGCATCACATTGGTGCAAATGACAGTAAAATATTATGTATCACATGTAAACTAGATTAGTTAAAAAAGTAGAAATACTTTAATAATAGCATGATAACATCTCTAATAATGATTATGATAAAAGTTTAGCCTATACCGGAGAAGATAAATTAAGATTTCTTGGGATGCTTCTCAGAAGTATCCATATAACGAATGCTGGTTATTTTTTTTTTTTTTTTTCTGTACACGCAATATGATTTTCTTTTATTCTCTTATGTTTCTTATATTTTTTTCTTTTTTTAAGTCGACGTTTTCGTTGAAAAACATATTGGTATATTTATGTATATACCCATGTACACATGTACATAATTATGCTTATGCATATATACAAAATTAATTTTATTCTTTACATTTTAGCTGAATTTTATATAATTAAACACTAAAATTTTATTATTTACCAATTTATCTAAGTTTTTAAATTTTAATATTAATTTAAAAAATTCGATTGAGAAATTATAAATTGCTATTAAATTCGTTTTGTAATTTTACACTAATTTAAGACTGCACTCAAATTATCAAAAAAAAATTAAAAAAAAAAAAACAAAAATTTCTCTCTACATACAAGAAGGTATCGTTAAAATTTTTTTTTTTTTCGTTAAAAACAAGAAAATCAACTTTTTTCTATAAATTTTTGCACTGTTTTTATCATTTAAATTTAAAAAAAGAATTAAATTTAATTTAAGTAAATTTTTATAATTTTTATTTTTTGTTCTAAATTTCGATTAAATGCGAATTTCTATGTATTTTTTTGTTTTATTTAAAAAATAAAATTTCATTCGTTGCGTCTCCGCCCAAAGTTGTTTTTGTGAATTCATTCTTTTTTTATTCGGATTTTTTATGCCGATTTTATTATATTTATTTAAATTAAATAAATTTTAATCGGATTCTATTAGTTTAAGTAATTATTTTTAATCCTTTCTTTTTACATTCTTTAATGAAAAAAAAAGTCTCCTTTTTAGTTTTACATTGAATTTAAAAAAAAAAAAAAATCTCTATGTATTACTTCAACCGAAATTTACACATTCTCCGTCTGTTCTCTCTTTAAAACTGAATCAGAGCCAGACAGAGAAATTTCAATTTCAATTTGGTTCTTCAATTCGGTAAATTAATTCAGTGTTGCAAGTATAATAAACTTTATTACACCAAATTTTTCTAAAATTTTATTTGTCACAAAATGAAGCTGATTATTGCCTTAAGTTTTATCATTCATATATTATCACAAGGAATTAAGTTGTGTGGTGAATTAATTTTATTAAATTTACTTTGACTCTAAAAAGCTATAAAAATTATATGAAAAATACATTTTTTTGACAGCTAAGTAAAATATTTATAGCTGCTTAATATAAACTATATATCATACATATATAGGTATAATGTCAAATAAAGCATAATTTACAAAAATTGTGGCAATGCTTATGTTAAGTCAATTGGTGAACTGGTGTAATGAGGTGAATATTTTATTTCAACTCAACTTTATCAGAAACAAAATGGTAATGAAACATTTGCCAACAAATTTATTAGTTACATATTATTGTTGAATAATAAAATAACAGAACTTGCATTTTGAATCATGGAATTACTAGGTTAATAGACTGGCAATAAAGTTTGTCATCCATTTCTTCTCTAATGGGATTTTCTTACAAAAAATTTCCATAAAAAAATTATACTTGCGGAATTCATATTTTGACAATCTATTATTCATTTACATCCAAGAACAGATTTCTGAATAAAATAGAAAATACGAACGAAGTTTCAAACTGAAATATAACTACTATTTTTAATAAAAGTTTTGACACTTTATTGCAAAATAAATGAGGCCGATTCTTCCAAAATAATAAGTATTTAATAATTTATCAAATTTTTATTAAAATCATGTTATTTGACGCCTCACGTAAAATTATCTGTTAGTATCCATTATTTAGAATCGTTTGAATTTTTGGGAAACAATTTGTTTTTTAATCTTCTAGCCAAAATCTAAAGAAAAGTTATTCAAAATTGTCCCATTCAGAAAAATTTTTAAATAGTAGTAATAGCTAAGAGTTATTTTATGGATTTCAATAAATTCACATGAAATTTTGATACTTTTATAAAACATAAAAAATTATTGTTTTACAGACAAAATATTTTTACTAGCGGAAATCAACAAAAGTATATTTATTTTTTTTTTAAAACCTATTACATATTATAAGTTCTTGTGCAAAAATTCAAACATCTTTTACTCGTGTTAAAGATTTGCCAATTTGGAATTAAAACTCAAACTTCAATTTATTCAATGAAAGTTATTATTTTAAATTGTGAAAACTAAAATTCAATTGTTAAACCTTGGTAGTTTTTGAACATAATTATTTTCAATTAAAATTAATAAATTTTGTATGAGAACTAGGTGTCGCTGCATGTTAGTTGAATAAAATGTGAGACGACTAGATGCATTAAAGTGAGACAAAAAATATAAACTGACATTTTAAATGTCGTTTCAATCAAAATTTTGGCATTTTTAAATGTTTTTCTCGTATTTTTTTCTACACTTTTCAGTTTTCAGTGGTTTCTTTACCTCACGCACACAACGATGAACCCTATCGTTGCGCTACCTATCGGCCAATTATTCGTATTTTCATGGCGGCCGCCGTAAGGTGTAAATTATGTTAGAGTATTTGGAAAAAAAAATATAAAAAATTAATAATTGGATATAAATTTATAAAAATTAGTGTAAATTGTTTTTTAACAATATTATAGTTCAGGTGAGTTGGAATATTATGAAATTTTTAACCAGCCTTAAATATTTTTGAGACAAAAAAAAAATTACATCACATGAAAATGGTTCTCAATTTATTCTACATCTACCAATCAACCAACAGAACTAATCAAATACTAACTAGCTTTAGTCATTAATAAGCATATAAATTTATTAGAAATGAGGTGTATAAAAAATAAATTTTCTAAGCTAGACAAGTTTATTTTAAATTTATTAAACAGTTGGGACGGTAAAATTTAGAAATAATTTTATTATAAACCAAATAACTTGCTTTATATAGGTTAGGATTTAAAACAAATTCAGGTATCACTTTCGTTAGTGAATATGTAAGTATGAATTAATGATGTATGGTGTACTATGGTCATACGTTGGGTGGATGTAAATTTTGTTTTAGGGTAGAGAAATGTAGACAAGGTTAACAAAGATGAAAATTTAAAAGAATTTTAAGAATTAAGACATTTTTCGAATTAAATTTTTATAATTTTTTCAATTTTAGGAGCCTCCATTTTGACACTAGAACATCTGTGTGATATTGCGAAAAAATGACAACTAGTAGTGAAGATGTTCTTTTGCAAATGGGTGAGGTTCGGTACAAAAAAGGTGATGGAACCTTATATATAATGAATGAACGGCTTGCATGGATGGCGGAAAACCGAGACACTGTAGCTTGTTCTCATAGGTTTCAAGATATTAAAAGTAAATTAACATATAAAATAATGTTCAATATTATTTTAAATTAAATATTGAACTGGTTTTAGTGCAAAAAATATCTCCTGAAGGAAAACCAAAAGTTCAATTACAAGTGGTCTTACATGATGGCAATAGCTCAACATTTCATTTTGTTAATAGACTAGGGCAAGCAGCGCAATTAGCTGATCGAGATAAAGTGAAGGAATTGCTTCAACAACTTTTGCCAAATTTTCGTCGTAAAGTTGATAAAGAATTAGAAGAAAAAAATCGAATATTAACAGAAAACCCACATTTACTGCAACTGTATAAGGACTTGGTGATAACTCAAGTATTATCAAGCGAAGAGTTCTGGGAAACACATGCCAAAGATTATGCACAAAAAAATAATTCTAAAAAACAAGAAATTGGTAAGTAATACATCAATCTACACATGAATTCGTTTTTTTATGTGATTTAAAATTTATTGATTTTTATTTTGAAAAATTAGGAGTTTCCGGAGCTTTCTTGGCAGACATAAAACCACAAACAGATGGCTGCAATGGTTTGAAGTATAATTTGACAGCTGATATACGTGACTGTATTTTTAAAACATATCCAGCTGTTAAAAAGAAACATTTAGAAAACGTTCCATCAAAAATGACTGAACAAGAATTTTGGACAAAATTTTTTCAATCACATTATTTTCATAGGGATCGAATAACGGCGGGGACCAAAGATATATTTTCAGAATGTGGTAAGATCGATGATCAAGCTTTAAAAGCTGCCGTACAACAAGGATCCGGCGATCCCTTACTAGATTTAAAACAATTTGAGGATAAAGCATTACAAGATAGCTTTAAAAGTGCATTTAGTGATAATAGGAAATCAAATAGTGGAAATATTGTTCATCAAAGCATGATAAAACGGTTTAATCAACATTCAATTATGGTAAATTTGTAAGGGATTGTCAGAAAATTATAATCTATGAATTTTTATTGAATTTTTTAGGTTTTAAAAACCTGTACGGACATTAGTACAACACCGCAAACTAATCCTTTGTCAGACATATCTGCTAACAAAGGTGATTTAAATTTGAATGGCCTTAAAGAAAAAAAGCATAAGTCTAATCATAACAATAATGCAAATACAAGTACAAGTAATCCTTCATCTCGCAGAAATTCTACTGATTCTTGTTTGTCTACTTCTCCAGTAAAAGCAAAAAAGCAAAGATTAATAGAAAAAATTTGTCTCGATGATTTAGGAACACCACTTGTTGATGCCATTGATGATATGAATGGAAAGCAAACGAATAAAGAATCGTTGCATTTAAATCTAGATAAGGTGGAAAGATATTTACATGGTCCAGTTCCTGTATCTTATTCTGATCATGTTGAAGAATTACAAGGTTTAGAAGTGACGCAATATAGAATATGCGAGGAATCGGATATGTGGAGTCAAAGGACCCCCCACAAAGTTTTAGTTAGCGCAAAATCTGCTGTTAATGCATTAGGTGAATTAAGTCCCGGAGGTGCTTTAATGAGAAGTTTTCAGGAGCCATCTTCACGTAAGCAAATTTTTATGTATATTTGGATTTAGATTTGGATTTCCTACATTTATAAGTATTTTGAACCTTGTATTTTTATCATAAATTCTATGTTTATAAATATATTTTAGAACTTGTGCCACCAGAATTCGAAAAGGATCTTAGAAATTTATATTTGTCTCTGAGTGAATTATTAAAACATTTTTGGAGTGCTTTTCCACCTACAACACCAGAGTTGGAAAATCGTGCTGTTCGAATGCATGAAGCGTTACAACGTTTTAAAATGGCAAAATTAACTGTTTTTGAGGTAAATATTAATATTTAAACAAAAAGATTGCAAATGCATTGATTCAAACATTAATAATCTATAGGATCGTGCCATGCGTGAGTTATCACCACTAGGTGCCACTTTAACACAACATTTGAATCAGTTACTACAGTCTGCTGGACGAAAATTTGCAACTTGGCAAGAAAGAAGAATGCGTTTGCATCGGTAGCATCAAAATAAACATTTCTCATCAACATCGACATCTGCAGCAGCAGCAGCAGCTAGTGCAACAGCAATTGCAAATGCGATGTTAAATTTAACTTCATTAAAATGAAAATAAGAAATCTTGCAAATTTTGTAGTCATTTCAAAATGCGCGTGTAATTTATGATTTTTTTTTTTCAAATTATTTCATAAACCTTACATAAATAAAAAATAGATTAAGTCAATTTATTGAAAAAAAAAAAAAGAAAACATATTATGGCTCGAACTCCTCTCAATTAAATTGAATTCATACTTGCATATATGTACATATATAAAGAGTATTAATAAGAAAATATTTTTATTTTTGTGAAATGAAAAATTCTAGCGTTGTAGATAGAAATGAGAAAATGTAATTTTTTCTAATTCATAAATATATTTTGTTTTTCTTTTTTAAATAAAATCAAAGCTAAAGTAAAAACTGTTAAAACCTTGCAGAATTCATGTCAAAAAATAATCAAAAATAAAATCACTAAAACTATTTAAAATGCAAAAACAATAGAAACGAAAAAAATAAAACAGAAAATTGTTAGCTACACAATTATAAAATACAACAAATTAAATGGTTCACCGTTCTTTTTTTATGTTATTAATAAAAAAAAATTATCTATGTAAAAATTTGGAAGGACTCTTTATTAAAATTTCAATCTTTCAGACTATAAAAAATTAGAAATCTCTGGATTGCGAGATGATAACACCATCTAAGGATAATTTAAATTTGCAAATTTAAGAAGGTTTTGTAAAATTGCAGAATATTGTGTGCGTTATTGAACTTATTAATTGGTGTTTGGAAGAATAGCATTTTGTATGATATTTCATATTAAATGCAAATTAATATACATATATTTTAAGAACATGATTTCGTCACGTTTTTGAAAAGGCGTAACCAAATTAGTGTTTAGCAATTAGCACTTGTAATTAACTTGATGAATTGGATATCATAACAAATTGTGAGTGCAATCTGTTCTTTTAAAAACCATACATGTGGATACAGGCATATTTTGAATTACGAATATCTATTTTTGCTAAATAAGTATAATATAGTGTTTTTTAAAAAATTCATATCATTTCGATGCATTGCAATGATAGAGTTTAAAAATATGTACTTAAAGTGATCTATATACACTTCTACAAATACTTCAACTAAGTACGTACGTATTCAATCCGTTTGAAAATTGAACGACATAAACTGCATTCAAACATAAATCAAAGAAACTTCAAAATAAAAATGATCTATATACACTTCTACAAATACTTGAATAGATGTACAAAAAAATGATCAAAAACGCTTTCAATTATTATCAAACGCAAATCAAACTTAAAATTAAATGACAAAATTATCGAAGCTCCAAATCAAACATTTCCTTTCATGCTCTGTCATATATTTTTACGATAACGAAAATATCATATATACATATAATATTACTTAATGCAATCCTAGTGGTATATGTATATATGTAAAACTCAATAGTAAAATAAAAATGATTACTTATAAGTAATACAAACACTTCAAATAAGTTTACCCATTATTATAAAAAGTGTTCATATTTACATATGTATGTATAAACATACCATCCATTTATGTTAAAGTTTAAAAATTGATTTCACTTGTTTCACTAGGCCCTGAAAATTAAAATTTGCATGGAAGTTAACCAAGTAGTTGAAAAGGTATAACTATTAACACAGGTATGTGTTTCACATGTAACTAATGTGAAATGATTTTGATTAAAATAACAGAAACATGTATGTATTCCAAAAATTGCTTTAATTAATGACCCATTAATGTCGTTCTATTGAACACATTACCCACAAAATTTATCAAAAACTTTATTTTCAAAACTGGTTATTTTAATATTTTAAGCAAATACAAAAATTATGCCGTTTTGCCTATACCCCAAACTTTCCACTATAAATTTAACAAGATTGATCTTTGGAACTATACTTTGGTGATTTGTTTTCAGTAATTTCAACTTCTGTATAGGATTCATGAGATATATGAGGAGGTAATATAGCCACTAAGTCTAAACCAGAGTTTTTAGTAATTTAAAGCACTCCTTTTGTACTCCCAAAAAAGAAACGAAGACATTATTACTGAAAATTTCTTTAGGTTTAATGTTTTCATTGCCTCAACAACAATTTGAGTTCCGGTTGACATTTCCGTAGTTGGCTCCAAATTATTTCGGGTTCCTAAAATAACGCACTCCTTCAACACCATTAATTGCTGTGTTTAGACTATGCTGTTAAAAAAGGTTGAAACTAACTCACTATAAAATTTTAAGTTAACTCCTAAAGCGTAATTTTTAGTTAACTCCTAAGAAATAATTATAAGCGCGTCATATTTTATATTAGGATTTAAAGTTCATTTAATGTACAGGAACTTAAGTACAGTGTCAGAGGCATTTAAGACAAAACAAGAAATAGAACTTGTAGAAGGGGATGCTACAAAATTGGATAATGTTAAAAATTTGCTTAATGGTGTTGAAGGAGTGCGTTATTTTAGGAACCCGAAATAATTTGGAGCCAACTACGGAAATGTCAACCGGAACTCAAATTGTTGTTGAGGCAATGAAAACATTAAACCTAAAGAAATTTTCAGTAATAATGTCTTCGTTTCTTTTTTGGGAGTACAAAAGGAGTGCTTTAAATTACTAAAAACTCTGGTTTAGACTTAGTGGCTATATTACCTCCTCATATATCTCATGAATCCTATACAGAAGTTGAAATTACTGAAAACAAATCACCAAAGTATAGTTCCAAAGATCAATCTTGTTAAATTTATAGTGGAAAGTTTGGGGTATAGGCAAAACGGCATAATTTTTGTATTTGCTTAAAATATTAAAATAACCAGTTTTGAAAATAAAGTTTTTGATAAATTTTGTGGGTAATGTGTTCAATAGAACGACATTAATGGGTCATTAATTAAAGCAATTTTTGGAATACATACATACATGTTTCTGTTATTTTAATCAAAATCATTTCACATTAGTTACATGTGAAACACATACCTGTGTTAATAGTTATACCTTTTCAACTACTTGGTTAACTTCCATGCAAATTTTAATTTTCAGGGCCTAGTGAAACAAGTGAAATCAATTTTTAAACTTTAACATAAATGGATGGTATGTTTATACATACATATGTAAATATGAACACTTTTTATAATAATGGGTAAACTTATTTGAAGTGTTTGTATTACTTATAAGTAATCATTTTTATTTTACTATTGAGTTTTACATATACATATACCACTAGGATTGCATTAAGTAATATTATATGTATATATGATATTTTCGTTATCGTAAAAATATATGACAGAGCATGAAAGGAAATGTTTGATTTGGAGCTTCGATAATTTTGTCATTTAATTTTAAGTTTGATTTGCGTTTGATAATAATTGAAAGCGTTTTTGATCATTTTTTTGTACATCTATTCAAGTATTTGTAGAAGTGTATATAGATCCAATAATATTGCATTTTTAACAAATTGCGCAAGAATGTTGCTCATTAATATATTCATATAAGCTAGCGCTAAAAAAAATCGTTAAATTGTTTATAAACATTTGGTTGATGTACATAATACATTATGAAATATGAATAATTTGTTTTTGAAACATTTTACAAGCTTAGTTTACAATTTGAAATGAATGAACCATGCATTTTTCACGTGTTTTTTGGGTTAACTTTTAGCTCTCAATGTAGCGTTTCGAAAAATAGAAAATTTTCGGGAAATTACGGGTGTTTTAAAAAAGATAAAAAAAAAATTCTAACTTTGACCAGCTTTATCTCAAAAACTATGTCTCAAGCCTAATTGATTGTAAGACCGGAAATAAAGAACCATCGATTATTTTGTAAAATAAGCTCCCGTTGGTTACTCTACGTCGCATTTTTCCGAACTCATAGGTATATTTGCCCCCTTATGCAAAACACCCGGTATAAATTTTTTTTTCTTTAATAAATAATATCATTTGGCATATTGTATAAAATTTTTATTTCAATCTTGTAATAATTGGTAAACCTGAGCAAAATTTTCAATAATATCAAGGTATCCAGAGTATATGAGATAACTAAGGCATTTAATAGATTAATAAATAATAATTTTATAGTGCAATAAAACAGTTTCAAAATTAATTTCATTAGATTTGTCGTGAGTGTGCAATGAAATTGTTGCGCTTTCTTTGCGTTACATATGTTTATATGTTAGACCCTGGTTGCAAGAATTTATTGTCATGTTAGGCTGTAAAGTGTTAATTGTGAATAAATGCACTTTTATGATTTTAGTAATTTTATTTAAATTTTTTTTTTATTTTAGTTTTTATATACTATAATTAAACTTTTATAAGCTTATCTAAAACTTAAAATTTATATAATTTTTTTTTTTGTTTTTTTTTAATAATATATTCTCTTAAATTTTAAATTTATTTAATATTCACAAAGAAAATATTTTATATATATATATATATTTAATTAGATTTAGGTATATATTAAGATTTGTGTACAAAATGTATATAAATATATACATATAAGTATGTATTTGCATTTTCCAATATTTTATAATTAATTATAATATTAATATATTATTAAATTTATAAATGTATATATATATATTTTTTTGACCTGATCTATGTTTTCATTGTAAACATTTTTACTATTTTTTTTTTTTCTAATCATAAAGATTCATAAGCATTTTGATTTGTGAGTTGGATTATAAAATTTCAAGGCAATTTTTTTTTCTATATTGTTTTAATATTCCCTTATTTTTTTTATTAAATTAAATCTATTAATAATTTTTGTTTTAATAATAACACTAATTTTATATTAATATTAAATATTTTATAACTATATATTTAAAATTTTTTAATTATGAATAAGGAAATTAAAAAAATTATTTTAATAATTTTAAAAAATAAAGTGTATAAGCAGTTTATTGTTAATTTCATATTAGAAAGCACATTTGTATTAGATTGTTAATATTATATAGTACTATTTACAGTACAATTTAAATTACCCGTGTGTAATAATATCAGTACTATTATTTAAATTACCCATGAAACATAATGAAGTTTTTCCTAAAACTGTTTTAATTCTTTGAAAAGAAAATTTGGAACGTTTATATAGTTTGTGCAAGGCATGATAAGCTTAATATACTTGTGTTAATGAAAATTCATAAATATTATAATAATATCTAGATTAAATTTTGAGTTTGAGTGTTTTTTTTTTGGAAATAGTGCTCTTAAGAATGATAATTTTAAATTTTATATTACTATAAAACAGTCAAAAATGACATAAATTGTAACAAGACAATTTAAGAGTATGAAAAATGCTGTAGCCTAGAATTTTACATTTCCTTTACTTGTCATTTTTACATTACCATTACGTAAAAATTATAGAGATGATAGGGGTGTGTAGTTTCAATATAAAGCTTCTAGCGTGCACAAAATTCAATTATGAAAAATTCAAAAAATAATTAACAAAAATTTTGCTTTTTCTTTTCTTATGTCATTTTATTACTTTTTTTTTTTAAATTTTTAATATAATTTTTTTTTAAAGTAATAAAAATATTTATTATTAAAATATTTTAAAAAATTCATTTTAATTTCCTTTTATTTTAATTTAATTATATATAGTTGTAAAAATAATGAGATTTTACAAAGGAAAGAAAAAAAAAAGAAAATGACATTTAAAGAATTTTTAAAATTTTACAATTTATTTTTTATTTAAGTGATTTTTTTTTTTGTACAATCTTTATTTTGAATTTAATTTAAAAAGTTTTCTAAAATAAAAAAAAAAAAATTAATAATAATTTATATAATTAAAAAAAAAACATTTGGAATCAGTTTCGTTTTGAAATACAAGTACATAATATAGTGTAGTTATTATTATATAAAATTTCTTAGATATTCAACAAATTTTTTTTATTCACCATACGTATGATTAAAATAAAATTGATCTGTTTTATGTGAATTATGAACTTTTTATATGTATATTGCGAATTCACCAATTTGTTGAATTCTCTTTAGTTAGCGAATTCGCTAGTATTTGGTATTATGTATGATGAGCGAATTTAATAACACAATGGCAGCACTGAAATAAATATTAACAATATTTTAAAGTAAATTAAGAAAATAAAATTGTTGATAGTTTTGACAAATTTTCTTACTTGTCACATTGTATTTTCACTTATCTTATTGTTTGTAAATTCGCAAAAAGATTCTGGCGGATTCCCCATACATAATACCAAAATAGGTAACATTCGCCAAGTTTCTTGGCGAATTCGCTATACACAATAAGACTTTTAATTTTATTTTACGAAATTATAAACATTTAATTTTTAATTTTTTCCTTTTTTTTTATCAAAAACAAATGTTTAACAGATAAATTTTCTTAAACTTCTTATTAATAAAATTTTTTTTTATTTTATTTTAATTTTAATTACATTGTCATGGTTTTTATAGTTCTGTAAAAATTTGCATGGATTAGATTTATTTTTAAAAATTTAATTTAATTAAAAAAAAAAATTTGATTACAATAAAATTTAAAAGTTAGTAAAAAAAAAAATTAAAAAAAAAAAAGAAATATTTTTGTTGTCTTCAATTTTAAAAGAACACATTTGGTTTTTATTTTCTCTTATATTTTTCAAAATAAGTCTAAGAAACTGAATTTTTATAATTAAAAGTAAGTATAGTAATTTTAATCAGGGTTGCCGAGTAAGCTCCAAAATATTCTTGAATTCGATCATGACTTCAATTTTATTTTTTTAAATTTCAAATTCTATTTTGACTTTAATCGCGTCAGCCTACACAGCTTTCATAATATTTCCATTGCGATTTCAATTTTAGTGATTTAATAGCGATACAGCAACCCTGATTATTAAACAACCTTGTTTCTTTTTATTCAAATCTTAAATTTTTATAGTTGTTTCTATTTGAATTTCATACAATCAAAGAATATTGCATAATTCTAATGAGAAATATTTTTGAAATATAAGTTTAAAAAAAATTGACATTTAGTTCATACGAAAACTTTATTATTTTCGAATCCGAAAATGAATTTGTGAATTCGGATTCATTCGAATTCGTTATTAAATTACGAGTTTATTATTTTGTTATTATTATTATTAAAATATAAACAATGTTGTCATCGCAATGCTTAAAATTTTTAAAGTATTTTTTTTTCTCCTTATTTTAAATTTCTAAATAGTTTTTAAAAAAATTTTTAACTTAAAATTAACAGAAAAATAAAATTTACAATACAAAAAAAAATGGAGTCGGTAGTTACGTATGCAAACAAAAAAAAAAAAAAAACAAAAATAAAATACAAATAAACGGTTATTTTATTTAACTGTGCTTATTTTATAGTGTTGCCAATATGTAACTAAAATTTCAAAATCGCAAAATTAGTATGAATTTTTCCCAACTTCGTTTATTTGTATAAATTTTATTGAACTGTAAATTGAATTCGGCAGGCATACGCAATATATTTGTATAAATAGTAAAATAATATTATTTTTATTATAATTTCAGTACTATATTCAAATTTTATTAAAATATTATATTATTATTATTTATTATACATAGTTTTTTTTTTATGTTTTCTATATTAAAATAATATATTTTGGCATAAAACTTAATACTAAGTTTCTGTGTGAAGAATTCAAATTAAATGATGTCGAATATTTATACATGTATGCAGCAATAATTGTAGTTCTTTTATTAATATATACGAAAATATATAGTAATTGCAGTGCTATATGTCAAAAATAATGTAATGTTATTTAGTTTGTTATACAAGCACTATATGTATTATACATTGTGTTATTCAATGCGGCATGTTACAAAGACAATATAAATTTATTAAATGTATATACTTTTAGCCATTTATTAAAACCAACTGTTACAATTACATTAATGAAAGAAACGAGTTCGAATAGTAAATCTAAATTTTGACAGATGCAATTATATGAAGAAAATTTAATTGTTTCCGATGATTTTCTAATTTAATCAAAGTAATTTATTCATCTAATCTAGTAAGTAAGAATATTTGTAATATTCTCGAATTTATATAAATGGTTAACATAGAAGACACAAATGTGAGATACACATGGGTTAATTGAGCGTCTAAAATAGTTTGGCAGTTATAAATTTTCTTACAATCTTTTGTCAAATTTTTATACTGGGACAAAGTTTTTTCATTATTTCACTGGAATCTTAGTATTAAGTTTGGTTTAATTTCAAAAATGTATTTTTAATGCGTGTTTTTTTCTTTAAATTTAAAATTATTATTTTATTATTTTTAAAAATAACTTTAAAAACAAAAAAATAAAAAGAAGCGTTTTACAAAATATTTAAAAAACTATTTTTAAAGGACAAAAATTTTACAAAATACAAAAACTAATAATTAAAAAAAAATGTTTTTTTTATGCAAATTTTTTTCTTTTTTGTTATTTTTGTCAAAATCTAATATCTAAATTGTCCTTTCTTTCCTCGTTCGTTATGATAAACTCTAAGAGGTGTGTAATTACCATTAGAACCACTATTAGTATTACCACCTGTCGCTGTACCAGAACCATTTAAGGCAGGTTGTGATAAGTGTATTGGAGCTGGTTGTGGTTTAGCTGCACATCTGGGTGCTAATACCAAATTATACATAATGAAATAAATAATTGAAATAATTAAAGCTGCAATTGCTAAACCATGATACATGCAATGATCATTATGTGGTTGACGATGATCTTTAGCTAAACCAATTAAAGCACCAAAGAATTTTCCTAAAATTAAATTCAAATATTTAGTATTTATTTATGTATAAAATTTTTTGTATATTTTTTTTTACCTAAACACCAGAACATTATCACAATAAGTGCTTGTCCAGTTGCTGTAAATTTTCTTGGCATAACATGTCTCATATATAAAATACATGTAATCCATACCATACCAATAATTAATGGTTCTAAAATTTCCATTGTAACATTTAACCAATGTATATTTTCAGCTAATGCTGTAAAACGTATTATAAATAGTGAAAATCCAGCTATTAAAATATTTGAATGGCCGCAATATTCAATAAATTTATCTTGATTGAATAATAATAATAAAACAAAAATTAATGCAATCGCTGTAAGACCTTCAGTATCATTGTATTCAAATCTAAAATAACTGTGTATGCTGCCCCAGAAAATACCATATATAAGAGCAACAACAGCAACTAATGTCATCTCTGGCCAATATTTTCTTATTGCTGACATTGGATAAACAAGCATACCAGATTTTGTATGCCACCACCATTCAGGTGGGCTTATTGGCATTCTTGTTGATGTTAAAAGTACAATTGCAGCAACTAAAAATGATACAACAGCAACAATCATTGCAATTAATGCAAAATCATATGAACCATCAGATGATTTAGAAAAACCAATTTGTAATGTTGGTATTATAATAACATAACCAATTGCACCCCATACATATTGTCGGCATACTTCCCCTCTACCTTCAGATGTATCTCGAACAGCAATAATAATGGCAGTATTTAATAATGTTAAAGCTCCAAGTGGCCAAATTTCAGCAATTGCACGTAAAACTGAATAACCCCATAAGGTTGTATCGATATCACCTTCAATCTAAAAATTTAATAGTTATATTTTTTTTCTTAAAAGCCTGTAAATATGCAAAATATTCATTATTTACTTTAATACATTGGCTGTCGGCAAGAACACTTTTCGGGCTATCATAAGGATCAACAACTTCACATTCAACAGTTGGTTTACAATCTGACATATTTGTATAGGCTTTCATCCATTCGGCTTGAGCTTCTGGTACATTACATTGGAATCCATCTAAATTAAAGCAAAAAATGGAAGAATTGATAAATAGAAAAATTTGATTTTGGGGAAAATTTGAAAATAGTGAAATGCTCAGAATTACTTACCAAGAGGATAATTACACCATTCTTCATTTTCAGTTTCATTTTGAGATTGTTGATGCTGTTGTTGTTGCTGGGCTTCTTGATTTGTTGTTCTTAATGTTACATGAACTTTTAAATTTTCTGTATCAACAGTGTAAACGTGACAATGTTTTATTACATCTGTACCATTTTCATTTTTGCCTTTTGTACATAAATGTGGTGGTTCAACATATACTTTATCTGGTACAAAATTAACATCAACATCTTGTCTTTTTCTACGTTTACCAAAACGATGTTCTGCACTTATCCTTTCTAAACCATCATCAATATTTAAATCATCTATAAGTCTTAAACTATCTGATCTTATACTTTCTGTTACACTTGATGATGCCTCATCATAATCATGATAATCAGATTCAGCACTTGTTTCTGTTGTTGGTGGTACTGGTGTTCCTTTAACCCATGGTTTATATAAATTTTCAAATTGTTTTGGATTTTGACATGTATATGTACAATTTGTTAATACCAATGAACCAATTTTCTCTTTCCAATTATGACATGGTTCATTTAATTCAGAGCAACGTTCTTGAAATATAACAGCACCAGTTGAATCACAACTAAAACTAACTTCTGGACGTCGTGCTTCTTCTCTTTTTACCGGTGGTATAACAAATAATAAGGCATAGAAAATGGCAGATAGTATAAGGAATATAGCAAGAAGAAATCTTAATGATCTTCCAAATGAATTTGTATTTTTAGCAGCTAACTTATCAGCTAATGGACCAGCAATTAATGGTCCAATAATTGAAATTAATGGTATTACAATGCTAATTATACGATATTCTTCAAAATTTAATCCCCATATAAATGGTTGGTATGAGTTTAATATGTGAACTGCTGATATGCCTAAAAATATAAAATTAAAAATAAGAAAAATATTTTCTATTTTAGGTCTGATAAATTACCACTTACCACTTAAAACAAGAAATGTCACTAATTTTAATGATAACAGGCTAGTTTTTATTAAATTTTTACCGCCAACTTTTGTAGCACCCATTTTGCATTGATTATAAAATTTTTTTTCTTAAATAATTTTCTTGAGATAAAAATTAAATTGATTTTATTGGTTTTTAATTTTTTTTCTTGGTTTCTGTTTTTTTATTAATTTAATTAATTAATTCCAAGTTTTTGTTGTTTTAAATTGTTGACATTCTGTTCTGTTCTGCTGATATTTTGTGTTGCTGGTTCGTTTTTGGTATATAAGTATACAGGCAACAGAATTCTTATGTTGTGATGTTTATGAAATCTGAAACTTTAGAAAAAAAAAAAAATTATTAGAAAATTTTTATAATTACATACATACATATGTACAAAATTAAAAAAAAAACAATAATTTTATGATTTGAATCTTGTTTAAATAATTAACAATGTTCATTAAAATGATTCGTGCCATAAATTAGGACTCAAGATCACAGCTGACAAAAATATTTTTGTTATGTCATAAATGCAATCATAAGCCTACATCTCAAATTATTTAATTGATTAAAATTACTACTGAGTTCGATATTTTACAAATACCTATAATTTGGCTATAATTTGGTATATGAATTTCTAAAAAAAAAGTTATTCAATCTTCATATACCCCATCTATACGACAATAGAAGTATTCATAATCATTAAAATATAACCTGGATGTTAATGTATAAACAAAATTAGAGCTTGGGTTAGAATTCGGTTCTAACAAAATCATGGTATTGTTTGATATGTTTTTAAATTTCATTTACTAGTTTAAAATTATTGAGAAATTAAATTTATTCTATGTATGACCTTAGATATTTCCTCATGTTTTTTCAACCTTGACGGGGTACAAAAAAAAAAGCAATAAAAACAAAATGCTCTGATGTTTAACCGAAACAGCAATCTAATAAAAAAAAATCAAAACAATTATGAAACAAAAAAAAATTTCGATTTATCCAAATTAAATAAAAAAAAATCATTTAATACAGAAAAACAATAAAATATAAAAAACGAATATATTTTTTTCATTTTTAACAAAAAGTTATCAAATATGACGTCATAATGTGAAAATTAACATATTTTAACGTTCTAAAAAAGCTTTCAAAATAAATCAGTTTGGGGAAAAAAATCAGTTAAAATTAAAATTTATTCCATTTTTTTTACCTATACTTAAATTTGTGCGTTTTTTAATCGAAGGTCTATTAAAGAATACAAGAAATGGTGGGAAAAAGAAGTTTCAATTTATGGAAAAGTTATTTTTAACATGTGAAGGAATTTGTGCCTACACAAAACTCTATAGTTGAACTCATAACTGCTTCACACATGTGTTATATATAAGTATTTAATGAAAAGCCTCATTATATGTGTGAAAATTTTTGATAACTATCTATATACATTTATTTGTCTATATAGGCATGCTTAATTAATGATCTAGGACATAACGATTCCCAAAGTTAGTTGGACATCTATCGGATAAAAACTCAAACTTTAAAGAAATTATCTTATTTTTAAACATGTTTGCGCATTAAATTTTGATACTCGATAAATTAAATTAATTGGTTTGTTTACACGCCTATGATGCACCTCAAGCGATCATATTTGCTTAAATATTGAAAAATTCAAGAATTAAAAGTGTTATATGGGATTTACGTCGATTTAATAAATATGGCAATAAAAAATTACTCTTCCTGGGTATATTTTTAAAAAATTAATTAAACATTCCACTTAGAACCCAGTAGGGAATTTTGTCATTATGTAAGTAGTAGAAATAGTTTTTGGTAAGCAGTTAGTGATTACCTTTGTGGTTATCAGTACAACCACACAGTAAATCATATTTTTCAAAATATTAAACATATTTTACACTTATTTCAAGAAAGAACTTAAGCTGTTTGTTAGTCCGCATAATGCGTTTACTTTACTCTCATACGCGCACAGAAGTAAGGAAAGTTTAAAATTTTTGTTTATAACATTGCATATTTATCAGCAGAGTCTGAGTTCGGCCGTTTTATGTTCGTATTGTATATATGAATTAAAGAGGTTTTACTAGCTCTCAATAGAGAGAGCTATATCAGATTCCTTATATATATAGTGCTGATCATTATAATTATTTTTATTTTAATTTCTACAATGTTTTAATAATTTTTGTAATTTATTTTTAATATGTCAGAAAATATTATGTAAGTATTGTAGAATTTTATATAATTGTCCATACTGTATACAATCCAAGTGTGTTTAATTCCTTTTTTTTATTACATATTTTTTCACTTTATTGCATAAAAGGATCAAGGTAAAGGGATAATTTTATATGTACACAAAATATATGTATGTGTAAATGTGATAGAACGATAACCTTTTTTTTAGAAACGATATGAAGTAAAATATAATAAAGTTGCTTTAAATAATGTTATTAAAGAAGGTGTGCCATAACCATTTATGTACAATTTCTCACACCTTATACGTTATACATATATATGCATGCCGGCATAGGTACATAAATTTTATTCTTGTTACTTTTAATACCTTAAGGACAGAAAATTTTAAATGAGTAGATAGAGTGTTAAAAATAAATAATATGCATTTAGTGTTTATCTTTAATAAGGAAATTTATTACAGTCGGTGGGCTTTTGTTACTAGTAATATTTTTTTTACACAGTAGAAGGGCATTTCTTAGACATATGCACTAAAATAATTTTGTGAACTAAAATTAATTATAATATTAAAAAAATATATTTTTAAAACATTTACACATAAATATTATTCCGTATAAGTTTGCTTAAAAATTAAAAAAAAATTTGGGAAAAACTCACTCAAAATCGGGTCTTTCAAATGGATCGCGTAAAATACGGAGTCGTAGCCAATATTTCTGTGTATTTTTTTTTTTATATTGAATGCTTAAAAAAGTCGTCCATTATTATTTTCAAATATATGTATATAAAAGAATTTGTATAACAGTTCGGAAAAAGTATATGTATAACAGTTTGGAAAAAGTGTTTAAATACACCCTCAATTATAGATGTTTGAGAGCATACGTTTGTAGGTGTTGCCAGCTGACAAACAATTCTTAAGAGTTTTTAATACTGTGGAATGATATCACTATATCTACATACATATGTATATATGTATGTATATGGGCCTTTGAACGAAATTAATTTAAAATTTGAGCTTATAATTTTTAATTTATATAAAATAAATCAAGTACTTATCTTCTTTTCTAGAATTTAATTCGTACAATAGAAGGGAATCAGTCTTTGGATGCATTATAACATTTTTGATAGATGCTCGTGTTGTACTCGTCATAAAAATACATTGAACTAATTTCTTGCATTAATTCTCAAATTAAAAATTTATACTAGGTTTAAAGTTTATTTTAAAATTTATTAATAAGTATATGAATTTTTATAATTATTTAACAATTTGTAAGATCATATTAAATTAAAATCTTTAATAAATTTCATTCAAAACTGACATATAACATTAAAATAATTTAATAAAAATTAAATTAAATTTACAATAATTGTAATGAATTTAATTTTGAGTCATTATGCATATATGTTAGCATATACATATGTACATACATATGTTGGAATCTGAATAATAAACTATTGACCTATTCGAATGTATCGTCGAGGTTTCCATAAATTACATAAATTTTTTTTTTTTTAATTTTTAATTCTTATTCCATGCTAGAGTTGATTGATTTACCTCATTAATTTTGTCACAATATTCAAATGAATCGTTTTTAAGTCATTCTAATGTACTTATGTGGCTATATATAATATTTAGCTTTCAAACCGACAGAATATAATAATGTTATACCTACATATATGTATGTAAGTAAACATGGAATTTATGAATTTAAGTAAATTTTGCTGTTTCTATTTTCAAAAACATTTTATAAATATTTTACATACACACATTCACATTTTATGTCTAAAGTACGAAAATCGCGTATAAAACATATGTAAATTTATGAATCAATTTTTTTGTGACCTAGATTTTCTTTAGCGGCACAAATTTTTTATATTCTACACATAGTAAAAAAAAAAAAAGAAAAATAAAATGATACAAATTTTTGTTGTAAGGTCGCAAACGCAAATTTTGAAAAAAAAAAATATGAAAAAGAAATAAGTTATGAGTAAATCAATAGTTTGTAAAGAAGCACATTTCAAAACAAAAAAATTTTCTAGGCATTAAGGTAAATTTTTTTTTAATCTCAGATATTCTGAAGTGTATTTCAATCAAATGTACGGACCCATGTATTTCAATCAAATGACCTTACAAAATGAAGAAAATGGGAAATATGGACAAAGTTTCAGAAATCTAAGAAAAATTTAAGGAATCTGACAAATGTCAGGGAAAACATTAAATGCAACCGGAAATATACGTAAGTCAAAATATTTAATTTTCAAAATTTGAGAGACACCTATTTTTGCCTGACTTCTCTTTTTTGAGCTTCTCTCTTAATTAAACCAAAATTATCTTCGTGTACGAGATTAGGAACTAATAAAAACAGGACCTAATAAAAAATTTTATTCAATGTCTATAAATTTTACACTTTAATCTCTCTTAAATTCTCGCAGATACTATTTCATGTAAAAAAAACGTATACAGCAAGAACACACAATTAAAGAAATTAAATAAACTAAATAGAAATAAAATTGTAGACAAAATAAACTTCATTTACAACATGCTTATGTAAAATTGATAAAGTAGCATAACTTAACTACAAGAAAAAACGAACGGTAGAGGGAGACAGAGAGAGAGAGAGAGGCAAAAAAAAAGCTTACATAATTCGCTTAAGTTGTTATTTTTTTAACAATAAATTTAATTATTGATTTTGTTTTATAAAATTCATGATATGCTAGGAATGTACTACATATAGACACACATACATATTTAAAATGCTGCATACTACATAGTGTATTAGTACACTTTTGTAAATATTAGAAGTGCTCATATTCCCTGTAGAACTTAAATACAATTGCTTCTTTCTGCACATAAACAAATATTTATGTACTCATACTCGTACATATGTAAATGTGTACAATTTATATTTAATTTTTGGAATTATTTACTCTTATTAATTTGCATAATATTAATATTATTGTGAAAAAAAAAGTTCAAAATCAAATTGATTACAATGTAATTGAGGTCTTGAATTGTTTTTTGATTGAAAATCATGAGCTGCTCTTTTTTTTTTTATTTTTGTAATCTGATTATTTATAAGTGAAGAGATTTTTTTTCAATTACTAGGGTTTCATTTATGTATGGTTATAATAATGATAGAACAGATAG